TCCTAACCATGGGTACTTGAAGTCACAAATGCATTAGGCAGATAGCTGCTGCTAGCACATTCCTTTCCATGTGTATTCCCCATTGTGTGCCTGTTTACTCTCTTGTAATCCCTTCCTCTCCAGTAATATAAATACCAAAATTAATTCCCTTCTTGCTAATTATCCCAGTGCTGATTTGAGCATTCCAAAGGGCAGGGAAGTAAGAAAAAAGAATGTAAGAAAGTAAGGAAAAAGGAAGTAAAATCATAAACACGGAAGCAGTCACATAATTTCTTCCTAATGACTGCATCACTTAGCCACTGAGTACCAGTGCCAATTGTGGTGACTAAATGAGGAGTACTTGTGTTGCAGATTTTTCAAAAGGACCATCCTCAGGAAAAACAAATGTGCTACATATCTTACAAACCATTGAAACAGTTCTCTTCTCAGCCTTCTAAGAGTCAAAAAAATCATTCCCCAGCAGGGGGTTTCTCCTTCAGGCCCACTTAATGAGGATTTTGGGTTTTCCCCCAATCCATCCAGGGCCTCTATGGGATCCTCAGTCCACTCCATGGCTGAGGATTCCTTTGAGGATATGGATTCTGGAGCTGAGGAAGAGTCCTTGGCTCCTTCTGAGTTAGAACCTCCCCCTCCCCAGGGTCAGGAGGTACTGTTATCCAAGGCCATAGAGGATGTAGTGGCTCGTGTCGTATCTCGTGGCATATCTGATGGCATGCAACAGCTGGCAGCCAAACTGCCAGTGGTAGCACCCGCCCCTACGGTCAGTGGCACAGCCAAGCCTAAGGCCCCTGCGGCTAGGGAGGCCTCTCCAATACCCACAGGAATCAGTGAAGTCTCTGACTTAGAGGAGGCCGAAATAGAGGCTCCAGTTCTCTCTGATGATGAGAACCCCATAACTGAGCAGGCCATTGGTCCAGGCTCTTCAATCCCGCCATGTTTAGGGCCATTCTCACCAAGGCTCGGGCAGCGGGGCCCCAGATGGGTCTTCCAGCCCTGGCAGCCAAAGCTCCTTCAGATCAGGGCACCAGCGAGACAGTTGGACCCCAGGACCCGGGCGCAGGCTTGTTTAAGGAGGTGCCTCCGCCTCTGGACTTAGTCCCAGCCCCCAGCTGTTCCTTGACATTATCCAACGGTAATGGGCCCAACCGGGATCCATGTCGAATCTCAGTGGGATGGACAGGAAGCTCTATACTATGGAGGTTTCCATGGAGGAGCTACTGAAGCTCCCCCAGGTGGATGACCCTATTGTGTCCCTTACCGCTCTGTCTTCCCTTCCTGCCGATCTGTTGGAAGGCCTTAAAGCTGAAGACAAGAGGGCAGAGTCAGCAGCTCACAAGACCCACCAGGCTACTGTCTGGGCCATGCAGGCTTTTTCGTCCTCTTCCTATTTTGGCAGGACAGCCCTGTTCTGGCTTCGGAAGTTGCTGGCAGGGCTTCTAGCGGGAGACACTAGAACCAGGCAGGACGTCAATAAGATCATTGCGGCCGTGGAGTACTCTGCTGACGCCTCACTAGCGGCCACAAGGTTTTTCTCTAGGGCCCTGGCCTCCAATGTCACCTCGAGGCTTCAACACTGGCAGGCTGATGTGAAGGCGAAGTGGAAGGTGGCTTCCGCTCCCTTCAAAGGGGGGAAACTCCTTGGGGAGGCCTTGGACCCATTCCTAATAGAGTCCAAGGATAAACGCAAGGTACTCCCCACGATTACCAAGAAGCAGGAGCGTAAGGGTCAGTCCTTTCGTAAGAATTCCTTTCGGAATACCGAGCCCTCTACCTCCTCCGGTGGCCTCAGTCGTTCACATGTTCCACCCCAGGACCGTTCCCAAGACAGGTCTTCCTTTAGGGATAGGGGCAGGCAACAAGGGAACAGCAAGCAATTCCGAGGGCGTTACTCTAACAGATCCTTTCGGAAGTCTAAGTGACCGTCACAGAGCTCCCCCCATAGGCGGCCGTCTCCAACTCTATGCCGCCCAGTGGGAGGAGACCACGACGGACAGTTGGATCCGAAACACAGTCCGTCATGGGTTGACCCTGGAGTTCCTGTCCCTTCCCCAGAGAACCTTTATCCGCTGTCCCGCCTGAGTGGCAGTCAGAGGCCCTTCTGAAGGGTAGTTGCTTCAGGGAACCGGAGCGCCTGATCATAACTACAGACACCAGCCTTTTTGGCTGGGGTGCTCACCTACGGACTCTGGTGGTTCAGGGCCGATGGTCGCAGGCGGAGCTCACCCACATCAATTGGCTAGAGCTTCGGGCGCCATTGCGCCATTTCCACAATCAGGTCAGGGACCGCGATGTACTGATTTTGACCGACAACATCGCCGCCAAAGCCTACATCAATCATCAGGGCAGCATGCGGTCCTTGGCTCTTATGTCGGAAGCGGAGACTCTGAGTCGCTGGGCGGAGAGACATCTGGCCTCGATACAGGCGGATCACATTTCCAGCATGAACAACGTGACAGCGGACTGGTTAAGCAGAACCACCATCCAAAAGTTGGAGTGGCGACTCCACACGAGGCTATTTCTCCAGCTGCCCCAGAAGTTCGGCCGCCCAGTCTTTGACCTGTTCGCCTCACTGACCAACGCGCACCTTCCCCGGTATTTCACCAAGTTCCACTGCCCCGGGGTGGAGGGCACAGACGCTCTTCGGTCCCGCTGGCCTCCAGGTTGACTGTATGCCTTCCCTCCTCTTCCCCTGATTCCTCCTGGAGGAGGGAGCGGAGGTGTTGCTTGTGGCTCCTCACTGGCCGAGGAGGACTTGGTTCGCCGACTGGTCAGCTTGTCGGTGTCCCGACCGTGGCGCATATCTCAGGAGCAGATCTCCCTCAGCCAGGGGGCCGTTCAACATCCGGAGCCTCAGTGGCTACAGTTGGCCGTCTGGCACTTGAGGGGGACCTCCTGAGGCTTCACAGTTCATCCGGACTATTCAGGCATTTAGGTGGCCTTCCACCATCAGAATTTATGAAGCGACTTGGTCGTCCTTTTCGCAATGGTGCCTGGGCCACGAGATCACTGCTTCCTCCGCTACCATACCACAATTTCTGGACTTTTTGCAGGACAGTTTGGACAAGGGTCTTGTGCCCAACACTCTCAGACGACAGGTGACCGTCTTGAGCGCCATTCTGTCCACAGACTCTCAGCTACCACTTTCTAGACACCCCCAAGTTCGGGGCTCTCTAAAAGGGGCTTCCAACATCTGTCCACCCACAGTCCACAGATACCCCACCTGGGACTTGACTATTGTTCTGCAGTCGCTTTCCGCAGCCTCCTTTGAGCCGTTGCGGATGGTGGATCTGCACCACCTGACCCTGAAGACTGCCTTTCTAGTTGCCATCACCTCGGCAATGATTTGTTCCTTGTCCAACATCACTATTCCTTGCCTCATATGGTCTGACCATTTATATATATGTACTAGTCCTACATATTCAATGTACTCCTGAATTCCTACATATCTCTGATGGTATTTTTGCTCTAATGGTGAGAACAGTGAGCATCTTTACTTTTCATGTTAGAGGTAATCCAACATCATTTTTCTCCACAGGTGGAAGAAGGCTGGTGGAGTGGGACTTTAAATGGCAAGATGGGCCTTTTTCCTTCTAACTTTGTAAAAGAACTAGAGATAACAGATGATGGAGAAGTACAAGAAAGCTTAGAAGATACAGGTAATAAAATGCAGGCAATCAGAAGGTGGATTAATGATCTGAATTTCTTTGTTGTCAGTTTCAGGCTGGGGTTCAATACAAAGACCGCATTGGACATATTTGCTGATGACCTGGTGGAGCCAGGATGGAGTATTGGATGCATCCTTGCTCTCCTTGATCTTCTCAGTATCTTTTGATACTGTTGATCATAGTGTCCTTATGGACCAACTGCAGGGCTTAGAAGGTGAAGGCACTGTAATGTGGTGCTTCTCCTCCCTTTCTCAGCAGTCAGTTCCAGTTAATATTGATAGGAATAATAGAATCATAGGGCTGAAAGGCACCGTGGTGGCCTTCTAGTCCAACCAAGATGTTGCCCTCTGCCCCTCAACTATGGGATACCTTAAGAATCAATACTTTCTCCTTCTGTTTACCATTTACATGAAACTGCAGGAAGAGGTCATCTATTGTTGGAATGTGGTGCGTGTAATACTTTACTGGTTAGCCATTAGGTCATTAGGCAATACAAGATACAGAATAGTAATAAGATCATGTGTTAAAAAATAGAGTATAAGAGATAAGTAAAATGGAGTACTGCAGTGTGTTTCAAGGGGCTGCCCTTGAAGACCACTCAAAAGGTTCAACTTGTCCTGAATGCAGAAGTGCACACAGTATTGAGTGTTGGTAGGTTTGCCCACATTGCACCTCTATTGCATGAACTGCATTGATTTCCAGCTTCTTCCCCGGTACAATACAACATGATGGATATCACTTTTAAATAGCATGGAATCTGACTATTTGCAGGACAACTCTCTCTAAGAATATCTGCCAATATCTCCATATTAGATAGGAAAGGTACCCTCTAGGTTCCTTCTCTGAAATCCTGCCACTTAGTGGTATCTCAGAAATGTGCTTTTTCAATGGCTGCCCCGACTTTACGAACACATCCCCCCTCCATGATTTGACAGCCCCCACCTTTTTAATTTTTGGAAAACTATCAAAATATGGCCTTTTACCCAGGTGCTGAAGTAGAATAGAATACATAGACTAGATTAGAATAAAGGTAATTGGAATTGGCTGGAGGGCATCCTAAGGGTATGATTAAAGTTGTCACTATTATTTTGACCATTTTATGGTTTTATGGTTATGTTTTATAGTAATTGAATATTATGTCTGTTGTGACTGGCCCAGATTTGTTTAAGATGAACAGCCATACAAATCCTTTATATAAATAAAAGAAAATGCAAATCATACTTCAATGCACCCATATAATTTAGCCCATTCACATCTGTCATCAATATGTGAAAGATATTTAGGTATATTTCTAGCTAGGCAAGTGAGTTTCAGTGTCCTGTCCCTGTACCTGACTGTCTGGATGGGGAAGAAGAAATCCAGGCTTCCTCATGCCAAGACTGAGTAGTTGTGAATTTTTCATTTTCCCAGATCTGGAGTCTTTCCTTCTTCAGACTTAAATAGACTTGCACTAGTGAACAACTTGGAGGGGTGTGTGTCTTGGACTCACATGTTTTTCTCAGAAAGCCAAGTTATTTGAGGGACTACCTATTTTCCACAGTTTTCTCAGTCTGGTTGAATTGATCTGCTCGGTCAGTTCTGTCTATTAGGACCCATACCTTCTTCATTGAAGCACCTGTCTTCTAAAATGCTATCCTCCACGTCCCAGCAATCCACATAGTTCCCATTTGGATGATGTTCTGGATGTGTTTAAAAACATGACCTTGGAGTAGGGTGCTTGTGGAGCCACTGCTAGTTGTATTTCTTGGCTATAGAATATGGCTTGTTCAATACATATAATTTTTTTAAAAAAATTCTATTTTTTAAGAGTACACTTCACAGAGTCATTCTGAAATTGGACAGTTCCAAACTACTATTAATCTAAATCAGTAATATGTAGTATCATTTATATGGAGTGCAGTTAAAGATTAGTTTTAGTTAATTGCATGTGGTACTTAATTTCAAGCACATTTATTACTCCATCTAGAGATAGTTTGCTGAAAGCTAAACATATGTAAGTATTTGAAGAATTCGAATTTATATGAGGTTCCTCATTGTTTAGAAGCAAACTTGCACATTTTACTGTATAGTCCTACTGAGATCCAACTTTGTTTTGATCAACAGCCCTGTCATGATAGCGTAATTGTCATTACGTATTGCTACATTTGATTAAATATGTCAAGGATAGACTCATCTGTGTTTAGGCTATTCCTAGATTGTCTCCAAGCCACATTCCCGAAAAGGTTAATTGCTGTAATTAATATTTCCTCCATATCACATATAGCCTTGGGAAGGGAGAATCACATTTGGAGAAGAGAATCACATTGAAGTAAGGGCTATAACTTTATTCCCTTTGGGCTCTGGCTGTACCAACATATAAAATATGATCTGTCACCAGATTTAACTATGAAAATGAGATTTTAATTAACTTGTGTACCCCTTATTGAATGGCCTTAATGAAATGTATATGTATGATGTATATAAGTATGTTTGTGTCATAATGTTAAGAATGTAAGTATAAGCTCATAGAAATATAGAAATATTTTAATGTTTCCATATCTTTAACCATATGATATTTGAATAGTATCTCTAATAGTATATTTTGTCTTAATTGATGTATACTATTAATACTCAGATTGAAGACATATCCAATCAAAGAGCAGAAAAATTCAAGTTATGGTGAAATTTTCTCTTCCTGTAATCTTTATCTGTTCACCCCAATCTAATGTTTCATTTCTTTACAGAAGTAAAAGGAGAAAGGTTACAGTAGTAAAAACATCATGCAATGGAACCTCAACAGTTAGATCTGTTGCAGTGCTGGAGATTAAGGGCATCCTTGTGAAAACACCACCCCTCCCATTGTCTCAGAATAGATAATTTTTCATTCTCGTGCCTTGTGGAAGCTTTGGTTTCAAACATCAGGCCTCCCTGCACTTGCATGATGCTGCACCCTCTTCCCACCCTGTGGTTCTGCATGGCCTGCATTGAGCCTCCCTAGCTTCCATACCTCCTTCCCATTTAACAACCTGCACTTCTTGGGCTTTTACAATGAAAACTGGCACTGCCAGGATTGCTACTAAGGGATGTTGTCACCTGATGTGCTTTACAATCACATCATTTAGCAAAACAATCCCAGTCCTTATTGCCATCATACTACTATATACAACACAAAAGTAAAATCAAATGATTGAGGTAAAATATGAACATAACAAAGTCTCCATAATAATAATAAACTACAATAATGACACCCGTAAATGAGTTTGGTGAGGTGGTTAATACCCTGGGCTAGAAACTGGGAGACCAAAAATAAGAAATTAAAGGTTTCAAATCTTCTAAAAAATAATTCATTTAGAATTCACCGACTTTCTTTGGAATGTACATATTATTAAGGTCAGAGTGTAAATGGACCTAATATTCCTGTAGAATTTACAAAATGATCCTGCATTGAAAATTCCAATGCTAACACATAGTTGGTCCTGTGTGGATGCTTAACATAAACATAAGTGCTAACCTAATTTTTCCATTTTTAGAATCTGTTTTTCATGGACCACAGTCTCCTGCAACCTCACCTGGGAATGGTAGTGAGTCTCCACTGATAGCACAACCAAAGAAAATCAGAGGAGTTGGGTTTGGAGATATTTTCAAAGAAGGCTCAGTAAAACTTAAACCAAGATTGTCTAGTAATGATTCAGAAGAAAAAAAGCAAGATAAGGTAATAGGCCTAAATGATACACAATTCAAAATGTAGAAATTGTATATGTTGTGATAAAAAGCTTGGTACTTTGTGCACTTATAAAAACAAGATTGTTTATTTTTTGAAGAATTTTATTCTGCCTCTTCTTAAGAGTTGCTGTTTCACAGGTAACATTATTCTGCAGGCATCAATCATCCCATTGATGCCTTTTACATTAAGCAGTTTACTGTATTCTTCAGATCTTTAAAATTCTATTCTTAAGTATAATTTGGGAAAATCTGAGAGTCAGTATGGTCTGTTTGACCAGTCCATCCTCAGCCACAGAAGCTCACTAACTTTGTCGCAGTCACTCTTAGCCCAAACCCTCTTGTAAATTGATATGGGATAAAGTCGGAGGTCACTGTGGATACCTACTTTTTTCCCTGAGTTAATGGTGGGATACAATAAAAACAACAACCAGCTGCATAAAGTATCATTTGAAAACTTTATCCTAATTAAAAAGAGAAGGTTTCAAGAATATGGCAAGCTGCAGCAAAGAACACATCGGGAGTCAGGCAGCATACAAAAGCTTCCAAATGTTTGCTCATGTGTATACCAATGAAATAGCACATGAGCATGGCAGTAGAATTGGCAGGGGGGTGGGTAGGAATCTTCCATAGTTTGCCAGGAGTAATTGTGGCTTTTAGTGTAAGAATATTTGTAAAACAGACTTTAGAAGTCTTTCACAGGTAGTAGAGGTATTGTCCTATGTAATTTCCTTCCAGTTACATAAAGGGCTGTCCTGTCTTGTCTATTTTGTATGATTGCTTATATTTAACATTGCCCTCTTGTCATTAGATGAAGTTGTTGTTATTCTAGTAGTGTTGAAACTGTAATACGCATTAATAACACCTAATGAAAAAAACATGGAATGCTAATAAAGTTGAAACACATTAATGTGCTAAATTTGGAAAAGATGAGCTGATATCCAGAGAAATCTGAAGGCTGGCTCAGAAAATTGATTATATCTAGATAAAATATGCTTTGACTTGCAGCCTATTATTAGTCTTCCCAATAGATAATATTTTGATTTAGAAGCAGTATATATTTCATTGCAATTAAAGGCATTGAAGATAAAAGAAATGTATTTTATTAACTTCTTGTTCTGTAAGATTTATAACTTGCAATTTATTTTTCCAAGATGATTCAGAGATCACAAATTAAAATACATTTGGCAATTGCCTAATTCTTGATTTTATCTCCTGTGTTCTCATGTAGCCATTACCTAATCTTCCATCTGGACCAAAAGTAACCTTACATCATGGCACAACAAAATCAGAAATGGCAACAGAAATAGCAAAAGCAGAAATGGAAAGCAAACAAAAACGTATGATTTTATATCTACTTTCTTTTAATTTTAAAATATTTAATATACAATATTTGATAAAAATTGATTTCTCAAAAGGCAGATAATTTATTCCTGTCTTTATGATGAAAATATTCTTACAAGCTGAGTGAGGAATATGTATCCTAATATAATTTCCATTTGATTTTGCTATGTTTGATTAATGTAATCCTGCCACATTTCACCTTCACAGCTAAAATACCTTAAGCATGACAAGGCATGAAAGCAACTTCATTTTAGCGATGGTGAAGATAGTTGATAGCAATTTATTTCTATACTGCTTGTAAATATATAACATTCTGCTGCATAAGACTCCCAAGACTATTCTATTAGCTTGTGTAGCAAAAGTATAATCATAATTTTCCATTATAAATCTTGGTTAATCTGGTAGAATGTTAGATTCCCTTGACTTTGCTCTCCTTTTGTCTTTTCTGAACTGAGGACTTTAATAAACCATTTCAATAACTTAATTGCTGTTGCTCCTCAGCCGCTTCCTTGTCTTATTTCAGTTGCTCATAAAACGAGGGGAAGGTCAAATGCATACTCTTCCTATCTCTTCCTAATGAGTTTGTGGAGTGATTCTTTATCTTTTACTAGCATAGCTTTTAAATAATTAATAGTAATGTGCCATATTTCATGGTAATGTAATACAAATTAAATACATAAAATATAGTAAATCCTTGACTAAAGTGATCATGAGTTGACTATGAATGCAGTGGGCAGAATCTTTCTGTGAATATCCATTACCATAATCTTATCAGTGATGTGTAAAATATGCATCCATAAAATCCATATACATAACATTCAATTCCCATATGCATATGGAAGCTCCCATTCAGCTTTAATTGACATTCCCTTTAAGTGTCACCTGAGCTCCACATTACTTATTATGAAATTTAGACATTTGTATTCAAGCAACAAACATTGGAATGTGCTCAATGTTCACAACTTTTATTCCTTCCTTTAAGCTAAAGAATACTGCAAAACTGTGTTTGCCTATGAAGGTACCCATGAAGATGAACTTAATTTTAAAGAAGGTGATATTATCCAAATAATAAGTAAGGTAAGTTATACTGGTTTACAAGCAGAAAGCCTCAGAAATAAAAGTAGCTTAATTTTACCAGCTTAATTGGGTCACTAATAAAGAGAAATTAAGTCCTGAGTATTAATTGGCTCCAATTTCTAAGAAACAGCTTCAGGTCAAAATTGCAGCAAAATAATTCAAAATATCGAGGTTCCATAACTTTTCTGCAAAATGTGATATAACAATGAGAATGGTGCGACACCTATTATTATAAATTTATCTTTTTATTGATACCAGTAACATAACTTTTCATTCATTTATTGGTTTTCCATGTAACATCTTCATGGTTTTTGTATGAAAAACTGGCAAGCTGTAACATCGGTTAAGCGACAAGTTTCCATCTTTATTCCATATCTAAACTGCACTTTTTGGCTTTTCTCCCTGGGGATATTCCACCAGTAATTGGCAAGGATGGACGGACTCCATTTTCCTTGGTATCTTTTCTCCATGCCTGTGATATCCTGAATCTCTCCCAATGCTCATCACTCACTGCCCCACAGTTCAAAGGGAAATAGTCTTAATGCGAGAGTAAGAAGGGAATTTTCAGTGACACGTTTGCATCAAGTGCTTTATAGGAAATTTTCCACATGTTTTTCATAGTCATCTGCCTTGCTGTTCTCAAAATGAAACCACTTCCATGTGGTACCATTTTCATTGTTCTACCATGCTTTGTTGAGAAGTTACGAGGTATCATGAACATTAGACACACCCTCCCTTGTAGGCAAATATACTCACCTGTGTATAAATCTTTATTGTGAAATATCTTGAAAGCTTTAGCCAACCAGCACCTTTATCACCTGTTTTCTAATTCATTTTAATCAAAATATATAAAATTAACACATTTTATCTCACAGGTTGATAATTTTCCAAAATTTGTATAGTGTTATTTATATTTAAATATTAGTCCTCGACTTACAACCACAATTGGGTCCAGAATTTCTGTAGGAAGTCAGGGTAGTCATAAAAATGAGTCATGATATGTCAGACCCATTTTATGACCAGTTTACCATGGTTGTTAAGTGAATCTAGCCTCCCTAATGCATATTTTTTAATACAGGCAAGTACACTTGCCAGAAACTAGCTAAACAGGTTGCAGATCATGATCACATGATCACATGATGTTGCAACTGGCCAAAAATGCAAGCCTGTTGCTAAGTGCCAGCATTGTAATAACAAGACCATAGAAGTGGTGCAATGATCATAATTTTGAGTACTGGTCATAAAGCACTTTTTCTGCGGACTGGAACCTATCTAGAGCACTGTAGCTTGGATATAATAATACCTGAATTATTTAAAAAAGGGCAAGATGAATCCCAGGAATCAGTGACCAATCAGCCTTGTAAGATATTCCTATTAAATTTTATGTCAAGACAGTATTATACAAACTCGAAGACTGGGTAGAGACTTGCAAGATTATTTATAATGAACAAATAGATTTCAGGAAAGGTCAGAGCATGTTTGACAATTGTCAGGTTTTCTTTTTATCTTGCTTCTAAATATGAGAACAGTACTACAAAACATTTGAATGTAGCAACTACTAATTTGACTGTGTACTTTGACTTAGTAGAAGTAGGTTATTGATGAAATTAGATAAGCATAGATAAGCATCTACTGTATCTGTTGCAGCAGTTCTTTTCAGTTATATTTACCAGAATGAAGGAGGTTTATATAGATTGTTGATTGAAGCAATATCAATAAAATAAGGAGTAAAGCAAAGCTGAGTCCTCACACCAATATTGTTTATTACTTACACATACATTTCATTTCCTCAAATGTCAGCTTCTCTAGGTTCTTAGAAAGTGTCTATTTTATCCCACACTGGTAAAATACTCTCAATAACAAGAGTTGAATTGAAAGAATGTTTAAAAAACTAGGGTATTACAGGTAGTGCTCATTTAGTAATCACAATTTGGGACTGACAACACAGTTAAGCAAAGCAGTCACTAAGTGAAACTGCACTTTCCTTTGCTTTACAGACCTGCAGAGGTCATAAATGTGAGCATTAATACTTTTTTCATCGTTGTCATAACTGAACAGTTGTCAAACAAGGGCTATCTGTATGGGCAGATAAATGTATATTGATATATAGTATGTGTGCATATATCTTTACCACCTGAACTGGTATGATATGTTCAATGGAGTATTCATATAGGCTGAATAGCCATCTCTCCAAATTGTTTTAGCAGTTCTACGCTGAACAGGAAATTTGACTACATGACCTTTGTGGTCTCTTCTAATTCCTATGATTTTACACGTAGTGAAAGAGTTCCAACACAATCCTTTATTGAACTAGAAATGATTATCAAAGGAAGTTTTTGGTCAGCTGTTACATTTTAACATTTGAGAAGGAAAGGATCAAGTAGTAAGAAAGTTATTTAAAAGAATAAAGCATTGGCTTGGCATTAATTAAAGTGGGATGCTTTACAACATAGTATCAATATTTGCCACACCTGTGATGAACATTTTATAGTGAATGTAAAATTAGGGGATAGTTTTAAACCATGTTTTTTGGCCAAGTCATGATGGACTGATTCACATATCACTTAAGTCAAAAGAAAAAAACAACAAGACAAATTCGGCCTTAGATTTGTAGGCAGGCAAAAGTATTCATTGTGTATTTCCACTATTCCTTGTTTATCCATTCTATGCATACATTTTAGATGAATTTCTGCAAGGATATGCTCATGGCAAAAAAAAAAAAAATCATTAGCACTGTTCCAAACTGGTTTATAGTCCTAGATCAAATTCTTGCTTATTCTGTGATCATATCTCACATTAAGTCTTAAAAACTAGCACATAATTAATGGCTTAGTGTGATACGTGATTCCATTTCTAAAAAAACTACAACTTACTGTATTTTTNTTCTTGGTACTTCCTTGCTTCAAGTATTTTCTACTTGATTATTTGTCTATTGTTAATCCCTGTTTATTTATCAGGGTGTTGGCCACTGGAGAGGATATGTTCTGGGATATTTTTTGTTAGGTTTTTTTTGGGGGGGGGGAGGTGTTTAATTGCTCTTTTGAATAGTTTATCTCTATAGTATTAGGTAGATATTGATGGCTCATTTATCCGAGCTTCCAATAATTCCCTAGCATTTAGGGATTTAGCTTGGTCCAAAACGCCTGCAGTTTCTGAGCTGTGGGTGTACCTATCCATGTATTGTGAGATTCAGCAGTTTTCATTGTGTCTTTTGATTGGTAGTTGATATTCATGGATTCACACTGCTAGTCTTCTGTCTGTCTGTCCTATACACAAGTAGTCCTTGTACTACCACAATTGGGATCAGAATTTTGGTCACTAAACTATCCAATCATTAAGTGAGTCATCACATGACTGGACCTGATTCTATGACATTTTATATGGTTGTTAAACAAATCACCATGGTTATTAAGTGAATTACCTGGTCTTTAAAGAAATCACATTGTTATGTGACTCTGGCTTCCTCATTCGACTTGGCTTGTTGGAAGCTGGCTAGGCAGGCTGCTAATTGCAGTCACATGACTTTCCCCAGACACTGCAACTGTCATAAATACATAATGATTGCTGTGCACCCAAATTGCAATCACATCGTTGCAGGGGTGGTGTAAGAGTTGCAACTTTGAGGATGGAATGCCAGTCACGTTTTCCAAAGCTGTTATAATTCTGAACTATGTGAGGACTAACTATAGTAGCTCTTACAGCCCTTCTATGTATGTTGCAGATGACTCCCTGTTTCTTTTCTGAGGCTACTTTCTAAAAAAGGAACAAATATAAGAGGAAAAATATTCCAAAATTCATTTCCTGAGAGGCTCTCTTTAAGCTAAAATAAATTCATGAAATTGAGTTACTTCATGCATATCTAGTAATAAAGCAGACTGAGAGTTCAAATGAAATTACTTTGATAGACTTTAAATCACGATACAAGTTGATAGCTATAAATTAGAAGATGGATTAAAGGGTTTTTTTTGTCAGGACCAGATGTATATTCTTAATTTTCTTGCATGTTAGATTCAAAATATTGTAGTTGTTAGTACAGAATGCAGTGCACTTTTAAGTTGGAGAAGTAGTATTGGAGTTTGGAACTAAAAGGCCCAGATACGAAAGAAAATTAGATCTAATACAAATTAATTAACCACGATTTTCAAAATTTGTATTCATGTTGAATAATCCTAACTAATTTTTTTAAAAAGAAGAAAACCGCATTTTCCAGCACTTTGTACCCAGTTTGCTGGCAAAGATTCTAAATTCCTGTGTTAAATTTGGGAGGATAGTGTGCTACAAATTTTATGCCAAAATATATGTATAATTTTAAAGGAATTACAAATCAATTTATTTCTTTTATAGAGCAATGAACATTTTACATCTACTCTTATCATTTAAGTATCCTTAATAATAAACAATAGAATCTTGATGTTTTAATGAAACTTTATTTTGAATAACTTTTCTTATTATCAACAGGGTCAAAAAAGCGACCATGTAAAGTTCTGTTTGCATATACTCCTCAGAATGAGGATGAGTTAGAACTGAAAGTAGGTGACATTGTAGACGTGAATGAAGAGGTAAGCTATTTTAAAGAATTTTTGTGAAAAATTAAATCTGAAAGTCATAATTGAATTGAACTCTAGCAATGTCTGTTTGCTATTACAATTCCAAACTATCAAAAAGACAATGACTGAAGATTTCTATCTTACAGTTAAATAGACAATGATTATAGTCCGTATTTATGACATTGTATATGCTTGAAGGACTCTGAAAAATTGAAATAGGAAAGTTAGGTCTGATGGTGTTACTATACAGAGATTTACTGTAGTAATTAAAATACTAGAAATGAGAGGCTCATTAAAACTTATGTTTTTTAATAAAAAATGTATTAGTCTAAAAAAGTGCCAATCACACTTCTGATTTTTGTCTGCCATTGACTAATATAGCTCTCCTTCTACAATTCTATTAAGATAGGGAGATCCAAATATCTATTTTGACCTGAACAGGGGTGTTAAATGGCACGGCAGTGCCACATGACGTAACATGTTTTTTTCCCCTCCCTTCGCTAAATCGGGTGTGGGCATGACCAGCACATAAAGCATCCGGCCCACGGGCTGTGAGTTTGACATCCCTGATCTAGAAGTATCTCAGTTTAATTTAAAGAACCACATAAACCAAATTCAAGTTCATGCAGTAGTATAGAGTAAAAAAATAATTGTTTTAGCTATTTTCATTTCTGGCTTGCTTTCACTGTGAAAAAGATAAAGACTACAATCGACTCTATATAAATAGCTTGTTTACCAGCTGCTTGTGTGACTACAGAATTACAGTGGAGCTGAAAAAAATAACTTTGTGACTAACCATCTTCAATGTGTTTGTCTTGGTCACGTGTATTTGCCATTATAGTTAGTATGCATTGTCCTGTGCCTGACCCATTTTGTTTCCCTTTTTTCCCCCTCTGGCAGAGTGAAGAGATTGTTTAAAACAATTGATCTCTTCCTGAGCTGTTTTCCTCTGCAGTGCTTTTCCAAAAGGTGCTAACTGCAATTTAACAAGCTCTGCTTTGTTACCTTAATTATCTGGCTGCCAGCTGCTGCCTATAACTGACAATACATTAATAATTTTCACACCTTGGGCTTTTGTTTTCCTCCTAACCATGGGTACTTGAAGTCACAAATGCATTAGGCAGATAGCTGCTGCTAGCACATTCCTTTCCATGTGTATTCCCCATTGTGTGCCTGTTTACTCTCTTGTAATCCCTTCCTCTCCAGTAATATAAATACCAACATTAATTCCCTTCTTGCTAATTATCCCAGTGCTGATTTGAGCATTCCAAAGGGCAGGGAAGTAAGAAAAAAGAATGTAAGAAAGTAAGGAAAAAGGAAGTAAAATCATAAACACGGAAGCAGTCACATAA